CATCCATCCATCCATCCATCCATCCATCCATCCATCCATCCATCCATCCATCCATCCATCCATCCATCCATCCATCCATCCATTTTCTGTCATGCTTAGATATTCTGATATCCATTTCTTTTTCATTCTCACCAATATTATTCAAATTTTTAATTTTTTGCAGATTTTCCTTTAATCCTCACCAGTTTAAAATTATACTCAGGGTCTTAAATGTAGTCTAAAACTATTACTACTTATATTCAGATGCATAATTTTTAATCTTAAATGTTTTTGCTTCATAACTGTGAATTTGAAGTTGTAGAGAGAAATAATTTTGTTTTATAATGGTAGATTGTTCTTCCAACTTTTACAACTACAAATTGTTGATTCCAAGTAAACAAACTGTTCCTCAAGTCACAAATGAAAACCTCTAACATTTTTAGAGAAACTACACACTTTTTTGTCATCATCAAGCTATTTAGGCACCATTCTGGAGAAATATTCAACCACTTATTGGAATTGGTGCCATTTGTTAGATTTGATTGGTTTCTAAAAATGTTCAATGTAGCGGAACTTTTCTGTCATCTTAGGAGTTACTAAATGTTCTATATTTCTCACTTTTGTCTCGTCGGAGAGCTGAGTTTTGTCCAGACTTCTGTAGATGTTGATTTGAAGCAGGGAAGAATTTGATGATAAGCATCCTTCTTTAATTCCCTCACCATGATGCCACCATCACCATGCTTTTAACAGCTGATAAAGTGTTTTTTGATTTCAAAGCTTTTTCTCGACTATATTCTTTTTGTGATAGAAGCCTTATGGCTAAATATTTGTCTAGTGCCTAAGAATAAAAGCTTCTTTCTGAAGACATTTGGCATGTCTATATGTGCAGCAACAGATTTCAGTAGGACTTAAAGGTTTCACTTTTGGAGGAGGAACTTGTCTCTCTAATTAACTGTTAATAATGAACCCGACAGTCTAACAGCATCTTCCGATTACTTAAAAGCTTGAACCCTGGGGGATTGTGTGTAGCTCTTTGACATCCTCACCTATTACCCTACATTTAAGTTAGACAGCTTTAAGTGGGATGACTAAACACTTGAACACAGATGGATGTTCCCACAGGAAAATGAGCCTTATCCTATAAAACATATGGAGTATGATTGAAGGCATGTCTCTGTGAAAATAAAACTGCCAGTGTGTATGTACTCTCGCATCCAGAATCTGTTTCCCATAAAATTCAAATTTTTTGACAGTATACCCTCATAAAAGGGAATGTTTTCAGAACACCTTAAAATTCCTATCAACAAGAAAAGCATTCCTCCCTGGGACAAAAACAGCACTCTACCTTATATCTGAAACTCAACAGTGGCTTTAATCTAATCAGGTTGATCTTGTTTGGGGTCTGCTGGTCTTTGAGTGACAGTATTTCCCCTCAGGACACAATTCAGCTGCAGCCTCCCGCTGAGCGCTCTCTGGCAGAGACCTCAGACAGGCTTTCACTGGGGCTACTTGTGCACATGCAGCAGACTCGCCATATTTTCTGTTGACGTCTTCATATTATCCTCACCCCATCGCTTTGAGATTGAATTACGGCGCTGGTGTATGAAATACACTGGGCACTCACTGTCTCCCATTGTAATTATTATCACTCTGTCCAGTCTGTGCTTGAGGTTTAAATCATACAGCAGCTGCTGCATCATATTTTCCCTTTTTACACTAAATCCACTGCCTTGAGCGCCAATGCTTAACCCCAGATCTATATGTCTCCCTAAAAAACAAACAAACCCCCCCCCCCAAAAAAAAATTTGAGGAGTCAACAAATGTAACATATTCATCAGTCAGTGAAGCCATTAAAACTGTGAAAATAAAACCTAATACCCCTACTTCCTGTCAAACTGGAAGTAATTCTTAGAATTTTAATACCAGCTGCTGAATTAATTGACCATACCTCTCTAATTTGCTCAGCCTTATCTCACAGCCCTTATAAATTCAACTCTCTTTTCCTCTTTGGTTACTAATGCATCGCTTACCATCCACACAAGGTCATGCCCTATTAGAACAACTACCTCTAACTCAGGGAGATGTAAGCATACTTAGCCCTCACTGTGGAAAGCAAACACAAGATAACTACCTTAAATTTGTTTTTTTTTGTCTGTGTTTTGGCACAAGTCATATGTTTCAGTGGAATTAATTTGCCCAAACAGGCTTGGCAGGATGAGATGGTACCAATTAGGCAGTGAATTTGGCATGAGGAACTGAGCATGTGCTCCCACTGAAAGCTGCAAAATCATTCATTCTTGAAGTGCAAATTCATAGACAGTAAGCAGGCTTTTTTCTGAAAGTGACACTTGACTTTTAGTTATGTTGTTGTTTCTGTTTAATTTAATAGTTGTCGCTTGTGGTAATCATGGGCTATCTTTTATGGCCCCATCACTGTTGCATCTGGAAGGCTTATCCTGAATCTTGGATGATCATTAAACAAGTGCTGCAGACTCAGGGAAAACCATTGCTTGTGATCCAAACAGAGATTACCTCTGCTGAATGCGGACTTCTTTCTTTTCTGTTTTATCACTATCTTCTCAGACTGTAATTGAGCAGCATGACAGACACAGTGATGAGTGGCGGATCGGGTCGCTGGGTGTCCAACGACAGGCAGAGGAACATGCGTCCAAGGTAATCCTACTTTGCAGAATTTCTATCTTTGTACCGCCTCGGAGTCTCTGCATCATGTTTAATGGTGTCATGTTTTGTTTCACCTGCTTCTTTTTCTGTCGTGTGGTCTGTGGCACAGTGATAAAGAGCAGTAAGTACAACAAACTCATTTTTTGTGCTTTGAACGCTTCCATGTTTGTGTTTTAAAGCCTACCTCAGTTTTCTTGTCTTTTCTTTTTTCAAAAGCCTCATGTTAGAGAGCATCCACTATACTTATTGGCAGCTTGGCTATCTCATATTAAATAGAATTTTAATATTTAATTGCAAATTTAACTTCATTAGGTGTGGAAAACTCTACACTAAGACATAAATACATATTTCTGTCTGTCTGTGTGTGTGCATGTATATATGTTTGTTTTCACCAAATATATAGACACTCAACACACAAGTTTTTGTCAGTTTTATTTTACTTTTTGATCTTTACCACTATGTCTTTTAAATGTTTAATCTGGGACTTTGTGATAAAAATAATAAACTGGATATAGTTATATATAAGTTACGTTTTATTTTGTTGTAGCTAACATGTAGTTAGTTCATTTCTAATATGAAAGTCTTTAGTGGTGTCTACAGGTTTGTGTATGCTCAAAAGTTTCAGCTCAAAACACCTTAAAAAAACTGTTTTTTAACAATATTTGAAGTATAAATCTGATTTCTTTTTTTATTTCGTTACTCTTTGGCTAAAAGAGCCAGATGTCAGACCCACAAAAAAAAAAAAAAAAATCTTAAAAAGAATACACAAACCTAATTTATAATACCACAAAAAAACACTTTCAAAATAAATAAATACCTGCTTTAACCATTAAATTCAGTTTTCCATGTAGTGAAATTAGTAAACGGATTTTACTTTGATTTACCTGAATGCAGATTAAATTATTGTAATTCAATTTGTTGAGAGGCACTGTCTTAGTTGATTTTATTTTTCATTGTAGTTTTTTCCAGTTTACCTTACTTTAATATATATTACTTCTTTGTTGTCATGTCATTTTCCTATAAAAATACTGCTGTTGTATCCCCAAAATATTCTTCCTTATCCAGCAAAATGGGAAAGAACAGAGTGAACGTTTCATTCAATTAAAGCAGATGTGTGCTGATTAAGAATTCAGGAGATATCTCCAAGAATATATGGATTACGGTAATAGTATACCTATCATTATCTACATAGTGCTTATATAGCGCTTTTTCAAGTCAGGAGACTTCACCAAAGCACTTTACGCTAAAGTCAGTCACACTACATTCAGTCATTCACCCACACACTAATAGGGTTGTCACGATACTAAACTTTTCAACTCGATACCGATACTAAGGAAAACATTCCATACTCGAGTCGATACCATTTTCGATACCACAAGAATAAAAACAAAGACTCCAAAATTCAACAGAAATATTTTCATTAATAAATAAAATACAATACATAAACAAAATAAACAATAAGAACAATATTTTGAGGTTGTATGCTGTGCACAATATTAAGCAAGCTGGATAAAAAAACGAATAAAATTAAATGTTCCTTCCTTGGCTATGCTTTGCACATAACAATGACGCTAGCCAAACAAAAATAATTCTCAGCAGCTGCACCTGTTACAAAAAAAAGTCTGAAACTGAAAAGTGCACAGAGTTATTCAATCACACAGTGTTCTGAAAGTGCATTGTCCTCTATTCTGCACTTTATTTATTTATTTATTTATTTTTTCTGTTCTGCACTTTAGATGCACTTTAGGTGCCACTGGTGGTAGCACTGTATCGATACTTTTGAAAAGGAGTATTGTATCCGGATACAACGTTTCAGTACCAATACTTTTTTGAGTATCCATACTTTTGACAGCCCTACACACTCATGGTGGCAAGTTACATTGTAGCCACAGCTGCCCTGTGGCTCACTGACAGAAGTGAGGCTGCCATACAATGGCGCCACCGGTCCCTCCGACCACCATCAGCAGGCAATCCAGTTGAAGTTTCTTGCCCAAGGACACAACAACAATGAAAGCCGGAGCCTGGGCTTGAACCGACAACACTCCAATTGCAGGGCAAACTCCTAAACCTGAAGTCACCGCCGCCCCAAGACAAAAAAATTGACTACCTAACATTATCTACCTATCATTACCTACAGTCAGGGCTATACTGAAAGGCTAAAACAGCTTGAAGTGTGAAAAAAAAACATAGAGTAATGGTGAGATCCCTATCATAACAGTGAATAGGATGATGGAGGTAAAAATTATTTAATAGAAATATATCCAATGCTCACTGTTATTAGCCTCATCTGCCCAAAGCACACTTTCCACCTTAAATAAAGTGGTGACTCTAAGGAGCAGTAGGCCTGGTTCTCCTCCAGCAGCTCTCAGAAAACCCACTGGGACCTCCATGGTGCATCCTGTCAGTGAACACACACCTGACACCTTTAACACGCTTTTTGTTCTTCTCAGTCATTGATGCATACAAACCTAAACACCACTGGACATCAGAGGTTTCACCGCTTCTGAATACAACAATAGCTGCTTCCTAACTCACAGCCTGGTGGAAGCAGCTCTGTCCATTGATGTATTGTTAGTTTTGTATTTTTTTACCAGTTGAAGATTTGTATAAAAAAGTAAAAGTAGAATAATTTACTACTCAAAAAATAAACCTTTTTCATGGCCTATTTCCTCACACCTACATCATAAAGAAAATCTGTGAGGTGAGATAAAGAAAAGAGAAAATTTTAAATGAGTTTGAGAAATTGGTCAATGTTCGTCTGTCTGTTTCCAAAACTGAAATGTTATTGGAGAAGTTTGAGTGTTTTATCATTGACACATAAAAGCTAATGTTAACCAGTGATTTAGTAAGGATTGGGGATATAAACCACTCAATAAAGGCAATATAATTAAAGCTATATGAAAAAAGTCAGTAAAGGCAATAATAAAATTGCTTTTCTTTTTTTTCCCTCAATTTCTTTGGAAATGAATGATCTGAGATGTAAAATCTTATCAATTGTATTACATCAACAGGGGGAATTGGACAATGCAGCCTGGTTCTGGTCCTGGTCCAGACCTAACAGATGAAGAGAAGGAGATTATAAACAATGTGATTGCCCGTGCTGAGAAAATGGAGGCCATGGAGCAGGAGAGAATTGGGTGAGAGACGCTCGAAGAAGATTTTCGTTTTTTATTTTTTTTTATTTTAAGTTGAGCAAAATGAGTTGCATAATTTCTAACTGCAGTAATTACCAGTAGCTTTGTGAGTAAGACTTAACTGTGTGATGCTGCAGGCGCCTGATAAACCGCCTGGATGACATGAAGAAGACCGTGTGTGGGGACGGGGTTTCTCGTTGTTTGCTGTGTGGGGAACAGCTGGGCTCACCTGGGGTCAGCTCCGTCGTTTGTGAGGACTGTAAAAAGGTAGCAGTTACAAAAGGCAGCAACTGATAAAGTGCAATAACTTGTAGTCTTTAAATATGCATTTGTATTAGCTATCTAAAAACAGAGTGGCTGTCATCTCATTTTTCCCCTGGATTCTGTAGAACATGTGCACAAAGTGTGGCACACAGTGTGGCAGCCGACCACACCCTGTGTGGCTGTGCAAGATCTGCAGAGAACAGCGTGAGGTGAGAGAAAAGCAAAAAGAAACAGAGTTTTGAACATCCTATGATGCTTCCATTCACTTCCTTTGAGATTTAACAACTAAGCTATTCTCAGGTGTGGAAGAGATCCGGTGCCTGGTTCTTCAAAGGTTTTCCGAAGCAGTTCCTCCCATCGCCCATGCCATTGTCTAAACAGAAGGAGACAGCTCCTAAGGAGGCAGCCGAGCCTCGGAAGCCGACAGCCTCTGTGCCCAGGGAGGCGACAACTCAGCCAAAACCACCTGGTAAATTTGTCTTCAGGCATTGCTTTGCCCAAAAAAAAATTATGACAAATGATTAACAATAATTTTCTCTTAGTTTCCAATCAGAGTCAGGCTTCAGCATCTGATGAGCAAAGTTCAGGCAAGTGTTTTCTCTTCTTTGAGTTTCCTATGTAAAGTTAATTTATTGGATCACTGCTGAAAAAGCCTTACATGTTATGGCTATAAACATCACGTAATAAATGTCTCACACTGCTTCCGGATCTCTTGTTGCCATCTGTCTTAAACCTCCTCCTTAAAAGTCCCCACCTACAGTGGGGCCTCAGTCTGCTCTGAATGATTGACTAATTAGTCAGATATTGTGAAGAGCGATCAGCTGCTTATTTTGTGTAGGAGTGAATGGAAATAGCCAATACAGCGAGAAAATGAAAACATTCGGCATTGTGATACAAACCTCTTATTAGTGATCCACTAGCGTCTGAATATGAGAAGACACATAAACCCATTTGTTTTAGGTTTGACTGGGACCTATTTTGATCTTCCCATCACAGCACACAGCAAGGAGGAGGGTTGTCCATGTTTCCAAAGCAGTCTGTGGAAAATCTCCTTCTGTTTGAAGGAGAAGCTCCATTTTTACAAAACATCCTGGAAACTCACGTCAAAAATGGGTTACTTCTGCAGAATGCTTAAACCATTTTCATTCAATTTTTTATTTAAAAGCTTTCATTGATCCGTTAGATTCAATAATCCATGGCTTCTGTTTGTAGAGATGTTTGAACACTGTTCTTTTTTTACTCGATCGTTTGTATTTTTGCCGAAAAAGTTTAAACAAAGACAAAAAGTTAACACCTGACAAATATCATTTTCAATGTTTTTATTAAAAAATATATTTTCTCTTCCTCTCTTAACACCAAACCATGTCCTCAATGAACTCTTCTAGGTTTTTTAAGGACAAAATTACAGTGAGGTATAACGTGAGGTGGTGTGTTTTCATTCATTTTAACCTTGTGTAAAACAGTAAAAATGAATGAACCTCTCCTTTTCTTATATTTCACCTTACCAAATATATTGTGTTACATTTTAACCCTTTACAGTAAAGCTCAGCAATACAAGTGCAATAATCCATGTCAACTACTGTGTAGCCTGTATAATTTTCACTTTTATATGGTCAGGACATTTCAATGTGCAAGTGCAATAATGCAAGTCAACTACTATGTAGCTTCCTTTAGCTCTCTACTGTGCAGATATTTTTATATCTAAGGGAAACATATTCAAGGACATTACAACTTTTTTCTGTTATGCATTTTTTTTTTATATTATAAACACTCTTTTTATATTTTCTGTCGTATTTTTATCTTTAATGGCATTTTGCTTTAACTCTTAATATTAACTCAATATAGGCTTCTGGAACTGGAATTTCCCTAAAGGAGTAATCCCAAGGGATAAATAAAGTCTCTAAGTCTCTTTAAAGGAAATCCATTTTATAGATTTTATCTGATAACACCGTCCCTGCTGTATACCAGAGGATAACATTCAGAACTAATCATAACCATTTATTTCCTTCAAACAGTGGTGGTTTTAGCACTAATTGCATATTTGAAAAATATCTCTGTCTGTCCCATTATAAAGGTAGATTTGTTTCTTTATAAAAAAAAGGTTGCTTCAATCAGAAAATATATTTTCAATTAAAAATGACCTTCACTTAAATGAACAAAAAACTCCTAAATCAAAGAAAAAAGTATTTGAATGCAAAAATATATTTGAAACTCAAAAAATACATTTGAACACTGCTTTTCTTTGATTGAACATGTTTTATTTGATAGAAGTTCAGTCTTTATTGATTAAAGCAACTTTTTAAATTGAAGTAACATTGTTTTTTGATTGGACCATATAATGGGTAGGGCATTTGTGTCTGATTATTCGATCAAAAAAGAAGTGGCTTCAAACAAACAACAGAATCAATAAAATAGTAACTTCAATGAAAAGATAAACATTTTCAATCATAGAAAATAGTTTTTTAATGCAAATAAAATATTTTAAACTCAAAAAATTGCATTTGAATACTTTTTTTTTATTGTTGAAAATGTTCTCTTTGGTTGAAGGGATCTATTTTGTGTTTGGGCATATATGGGTAGGACATTTGCGTCTTAATCATTCAATTCCCAAAAAGTTGTTTCGATCAAAAAAAAAAAAAAAAAAATCAAAGAAAAGAAAATTGAAGTTCAATTAAATTGTTTTATTTGGATCACATTTTTTTTTTATGTGCAAGAAGGTTTGAAGTTCAAATTTTTTTGATTGAATAGTTTTGACGCAAACGTTTTGCAGTGGGCGGGTGCTTCTCTATTGGTCAGACATGTTTGATTGACAAGTGTCTACACCGACATCTTTCTGACAAAGAAGTCATGGTTGCCACTGGCCAACAAGCTTTATGCCAGTGTTAAAATATGTTTCGTCGAGCTGCGTTTCCCCATCAGAAATTTTCAATCAAAGAAAAGCAGTGTTCAAATGTATTTGTTTGAGTCTCAAATATATTTTTGCATTGAAATGCTTTTTTCTTTGATTGAAAAATTTTTTTGTTCATTGAAGTGAAGGTTTTTTTAATTGAAAATATATTTTGTGATTGAAGCAACCTGTTTTTTTTTTTTTGATTAAATGATAAAGAAACAAATCTACCTTCATATCCCATCAAACTGCCAAAACTTTTTCTAAGGAATGTTTTACCTAGAATTATCTAGTTGAGAGGTGACCTTTTGTAAGTCTTATAAGTTAGTCTAAAGATAAGCAAATGTTCAGTTTTATAACCTTCCTGATCTCTAAAAAGACGTATTTCCTCTCAGTGCTTAAACAAATCCCAGTCCAACATAACAACACGTATATAGGCCATATTTAACCTACTCAGCATGCTTGTGGCGCCCTCGGGCTTCGCTTCCCTGGGCAGTGTGCCATGTTGCCCATTTATAAAAGAAAAAAACCCCCACCACTTTCAGATTTTCAGTTTACTGAAACAGATGTGCTTTGCAGTTAGAACGTCAAGGCCACTAAAAATTAAGCATCTTGTTTGTGTCGACATTTAGACATGGCTGTTGGAAAGAGAACTAGAATGGTAGAAAAGTTGCTGCATGGCTTGTCACCTTTATTTAAACATTTGCTGAGTCATTGTTGGGACTTATTCACTCTGAAAGAAAACACACACACTGGCAAAATATAGCTGTATTTTTTATTATAAGAGACCAATGTTTCTTGCCGTGTCATTTTTTACAGGTTTGTCAAGGCTTGTTGGTTTCTTTATGGGGTTTTTTATGTTAATGCACCATGTTTTATGAGTGATCCATTTCCAATAGTCCTACCTTTTTTTTTCCTAATTCCCCTAAGGTTGCAGTGCCACCCATTGATGCTGCTGACTGAGATGGAGTCCTTCAATTAGCCAGTCAGGTGTTGCATGCTGGGATTTGGAACAAGCCTCCATGTGGTGCTGATCTAATGGGTCAAACAGCTAAATTTCCATCTCAGTAGGATTTGTGTTGTTTTACCCCTCAAAAACACTCCTGTAGGCTGCCTGTAAAGGCAATAGCTCACCCAACTTACTGTCGTATATATAGGTCAACCCATCTGCAAGTAAAACTCTGTGGTGGTATGTCTCCAGGAGGATTTTACAGAATACATTTAGGGGGATTCAGCATTTCGGGAGTCTCTGTGTGACATTAGTTTATATTTACCTTTAGGTGCGCAGACACAGGCCCGTTCTGCTTATCCTCCTGTGGCTCCTAAACCAGCTATGCGGATGGCTGCAGGGGGGGTCGGCCCTGAAGAGGCAGGTCAGGGAAGTCCAGTGGTGATGAAGAAGATGGTGCCTGTACAAAGCTCCAGGGCACAACCGGTTTCAGCCAACATGTCCCAGCAAGGTGAGAAAAGGTTAATTTCTCTATAGAAGAAAGTGATTTTTTTTTTTTTATTGATGATGTGGGAGTCTGTTAAACCCTAATTATATCTACCTGTTGTTGTCTAACTAATGTTATTGCCAACCAGTTTAGTTAATTTGGACAGTTCCTCTGTCAGGATGAATAGCCATCCTTATTATGTAGGAGAAGATTTGGGAATGGAATGAAAGCCATGTCATGGATCTAAAAACATAGTGACTTAGACTTAGACAAACTTTCTTTTTTATTTTCTATACACAGACTGTATACAAAACAAAATTTCTATGCATAAAGCTTTTCAAACAGTGAATGAACAGCTTAACAGGGAAATGAACATTTCCATTTATAAAGTGCAGCAGTGATCAGAAGGTAAACAGTGTAGAAGAAAAGGAAAACCAGTTTAAAGTCATGTTTTAATGGCATTGATATGGAAAGGTTCAGTGCAGTGCAAAATCAGGGCTGGAGCCTTTAGTGTCTCCTTATTTATAAACTTGTATGATGTAATGATGTGATGATGTGGCAGACTGGAGTTGTATAAAATGCTTCTCTAACTGTGATTCGGGGCCGACTTCAACAAGAAGCGAGCCCTGTTGTTAAACGCTGCCTTCTGTAACCCTAAGCAATTTCTCTGGACTTAGCAGATTACAATTTCTGTCTAAATCTGTTGTCATGTCTCATGGTTATTTAATACATTATACATTATGAAGTGTAATTTAAAGAGTTTGTCCTGAGTGATATCTTCTAAGAAGAGAATTTGAAAGAGAAAGCTTAAAGGTGTAAACACATTGCTTTTCTTTACAGAAGTTGAAAAGTATTTATCTTAAAAATCCTTAAAACTCCGGGGTTAAACATGGTGGTGGCTGCACCATGCTGTGGGGCTTATTTTCTTTCAGTAGGCACAGGAAAGCTGATGAGAAGAGGGTTGAAGTTTAATTTAGGTCGATCCTAAAGTTTTTGGTTGGAGCTAAGAGTATCAAAGTCTAATCTGCTTCAGCCTCGGTTTCATTTAACAAAATGTATTTGTAGGTCCTATGGCAGGAGATGTAGGCGCTTACGCTTCAGAGCAGAGAGGAGCGCCTGCTGTAAGAGAGGAAAGGAGGCAGCCCGCACCCTATAGCGCACCCCCGCCCCGACATCAACCCCCTCCAGCTGATGAGGAGGAGGAGACCAATGACTATGACTCCGATGAAGCCAGTGAGTATGCCATGTTTTAATGCCGCAAAATGGTCAAAAGTGTCTTATTCAGTTTCTGTACAGATAATTCAGGCTTTAACACCTTTTCTAGCCGATGTCCTTAATGCAGTATAATCTCCACAACCTGCTTTGGGAATTTTCTACCTTGTCAACAAATAGGAAATTAAAACACAATATATGCTCACATATAAGGATATTATTAACAGCTAAATCACCAATGATTGTTCAATTATTCAGATATTTTCTATAAACTCTATTTTAATGAAAAAGAAAGGCATTAAGCCATCCATTTAAACCAAGAAAAGACTCAATTATTTCTCTATGGAGATGTATTTAATTTATTTTTATTTAGGTCCAGGTCTTTAAAGCTGTGCAAATAATTCTGGATTCAATCAGGCTATCGGGTTATAAATTCCCTGAAGTTGGGTCCCTTCCCTGGTGCAAAGAGGGGATACGGCAGAAATAGCAATACTTTTATAGACCTAATCTCTGAGGAGATGGGATGGTTTGAATATTCAGGTCCCTGGGGTGATGATTGGTTTCTGAGGCCCTCGTAAATACTGGAGAAATACGTTATCTTGGTTAAAGACTCCAATACTGTTATATACATGATGTTCAATTTAAAAAAAAGATTAATGGAGCTTTAAAAACAAAGATAATAGGCTAATGATAATAGGTATTAGAGCTGCTCAGTGTGTTTTTTTTTTTTTTTTATAAATATCTTACTAAAGAATGGGCTGATCATGGTTGGTATGATGGTTTTTTAGATGAGCCAGCCTCTTGATGCCAACAAAACCTTTTTGTTTTAAAGCAGGATTTTTATATGGAGAAATTGACTCACTTTTTAATATAAAGGACACATATGAGTTCTTCTATTTACATCAGAAAATAAACATGGCCTTAATATGCTGTACACCAATTGTTATGTTGAAAGGCCCCATTCACATCAGATAAATACGTCCTGAAGGTTTGTAGAATTATTCAGACATCACATTTTTCTCATTTTGGCTTTAAAAAATTTAGAAATAATTAGAAATGAATAGTCTTTTGATAATTTATCTCTAGGTCATGGTTATATAAGTAGGCCTAGGTAACCATATTATATAAAAAGATTAAAATGAAAATGATAATACTAACCATTCTTTCGTATTTTTCTTATATAAATGCCTTTTTTTTGCAGTTCACAACATGTGAACAAGCATATTGTGTTTGTGCTTTGAATTTAAGCATTTACCAAAAACCCCCAGCTTTTCACCAGATAAAACGGTGATTCCCTCCTCCAGCCTTTAGCTCTGTCAAGGAATAAAACCACTCTAAATATAATATGTGTGGGAAGTATCTGCATTCCTTATACAA